AGTTCCACTTGGCGTTGGAGTTCCACTTGGCGTTGGAGTTCCACTTGGCGTTGGAGTTCCACTTGACGTTGGAGTTGCTGAACCTGCTACTGTACTGTCCGACGCGCCAGAATTATGGTTGGCAAGTGCCGCTGCCGTGTCCCAAACGCCGGGGATAGTAACATCGATGTAGGCCCAGCTAGGGATGGATAAACCGGGGGGGATTGTGACGGGGAATTGAGCGATTGTGATGTCCGAAGCTGAACAGTTTGTCTGCCATTGATTCCACCTGTTGAGGATGATAAATGGTAAATGAGTGGGGTAATTAAAATATCCGTAATGAGTGTTTACGTCGAGATACCGTGTCCTTGACATGCACTACAGGCTGACAGGAGCGAGTAAACCACCGTACTGCATTGACATTTGTTTACTTCGTATAGGTAGGGGCCACTATAATACGTATATTGGTTTAATGGAACGATATTCCAGTCTGGAGAATGCCTGTGTAAATGATCCCCAAGGGGTGAAATGAAAATATGAACATACTACCACCATTGCACGCGCCGAGAAGCCCAGAACCGACTGCATTGAATCAGGTTGAGGCTGTATTTAGATTTGAAGTGTAGAAAATTTTAGTTACCCAAACATGGGCTCGCCCCCTCCTGATTAAAAGTCTACATAAAATGACACGTAAATTCACAAGTCGAGTAAGAATGAATGTTACAGACCCATAGGTCTGTAATACAAGTTGCACCGGTCGTCTTGATAACAGCTATCAATAGGAAGCTATTTCAGCCACATATGCACGTACCGCCGTCTCAATGCTTCGGTGTGTAGATGCGAGAGCTACAACCACGATAGCCCACAAAGAGAACATGAAAAAAGTCGTTAACTGGGTCAAGGATCTGTTACCAAATTGCTCCTGCCAACTCCTCGTCAGGCCTGCTATATGTGCACATTGTTAAAAATATTTTACCGAAAAATATTTCAAAGAGGCGCAACTGAATTGGAAAGTGCGCTCTATCGATAACAGGGCCTCGAAACCTCACGACACGTGAGTAAAGCCCCACATCTATATAGTCATTGATAGAAAGTATGCAAACTCAATTTTTTATAGCTAAGGCACAGATCACTTGTCGTTCGGAATCTATCACAGAGATAGAAAATCCCTCCCGAACAGTGACAGGGGGCGGTGAAAGGGCCTGATCAGTCAACGTTAGCGCCTTTGAAATTCTTGTCGCTGTTCAAAAGGGATCTTCTATTTCTTCGACATCTTCCGATACTGTAAATACCATCGAACCCAAAAAAGTGAATTTCAGGTTAATTTCTGTTCTCAATGACAAGTAGCGGACGCTGCCCTCCCCCACTAGGACATTTCCTTAAAAGGAATGAAGCACGTGATATTTCCTTAAAAGGAATAAAGCATGTGATTTGAAAGTGAGAGTGTGTAGAAACACAAAATACAACCAACAAATGTCCACGCATGTGACATCTGATACCAAGGTGCTCAAAGCCTTGGTGTAAAAAGACCTTCCCATCCAGCTCTCAGAATAAAACCTGTGACTCTTGCAGACAGCACGACAGAGACAACCAGATACAATTTCGAGACCAGCGAATGTTGAATTCGTGTATCGAGAAGGAGAGGAGGATGAACGGTAATCGAGGGGGAACACTGCCGACGTGGGATAAGTCAACAAACAGTGCCATGTTTTATCACACAAGGCATGCGGTTGCTGATAAGAACACATAACTCTCATTTTCTCATCAAGATTCAAAATATTCCCTACGTAACTCAGAACTTGTCTCCATTTTTCTAAACTTGTACTTGTCATACATTATCATTTTTTACATACATAAATGATAGCGGTACTTGGATTTATATCTCATCAATCTTCCCACACGTCACGTGATGTCATAGGGCAAGGACACTTATGACAAGTATCTAAGTGTTGAAGTATTGCGAGCGCTAGAAGCTACTAGAAGCTTCGTCAGCTGGTTCATAGGATATATTAGTCGAGTCGCTGTTCCTAGTTTTCCTCACGCGTTTGACAGAGCTCAGACAAACGCGAATATCACTCATTGTCAGCTCTCGAGATCCGCATTGAAACTTTAACGCTAAGTTGTGAACTGTTAAATGATTCGATAGGAGAATATCCAGCACTTGTGTGAGGTTATGGCATCACGGGTTGAAAGATGCAAAGTGAATGCATTGGGCATGCACACTTGATTCCCCAAATTGAAATTGATCAACGTTCTCTGTTGGAATTGACCCGACAACCATCCGAACTGCCTGCACAGTTCAATTCAATCCTTCAATTCGCCTTGCCAAGAATATTTCCTGATGTGACATTCAATAGGTATATGGGTTCACTTTTGTAAGTCACTTTATATAAAGTCATATCTACTGTGCTCTGCACAAGCTCCCCATATATATTTATATGTAGAATGTTCTGTCCGGCATGAATTTTTTCTCCTTGTCGATGATTGGCAAGTATTGCGTCGCGTACGCAGTTGCGGAGAATAGCCGTCATTAACACTCGATAGAAGATTACAATTAAATAAAGAGTGATCCACGCCTGTTCCGTCGTCAGGCGGAGGACCCCCTTTCATTTCATGCGTTTGGTAGAAGGCCGCTGCCATGATTTCTTGGTGATGTGTTATACCGGCATAAAACAAAATCGTGCTTAAATCAAGAACGCCTAGATTATCATTGTAATCGCGAAGCCCTTAGACCACGTTACGTTCCGGGACATACATCGATCGTCACGTAAATAAAAAGAATTTTTTGAAATAGACCGTTGTTCATAAGTGGAGATAAGGGGTAAACACAGTGAAAATTGGGGAGGGGGGTGGGGGAATTAGCGTCGACCTGTCTTGCGAACCTGTTAAGGACAGGGCGTCGATTCCCTCATTGGTAGGGTGCTTGAAATTGACGAGTGCCTGTATATTGTCCACCTGGCGGACTGTCGGGGGGTAATGACTGGGGTCCCTGCGGGTGGTAGTATGTGACTACGCTGTCAGGAGTGGCAGTCGCGGGTACGTATACGGGCAATGATGAGTCGGGAAATGTCCTTGGATTAGAGCGATCCTGATTCGGATTAAAAGTGAGTAACAGAAAAGTCCCAAAACCAGGTAACACGAGGGATTTACATAATATCTTTGCCAGTCGGCCTGCATTGGGAAAGTTGGCGAGGGGAACCCGCGAGACGAGGTTGGGCTGGCCGCCACATCGAACTTTTCCCTACCACCATTGGACACCGGCGTCGTGGTATTGCGCCGCTTCATTAAAAGGAACACACCAATGGCAATTAAGGAAAGTCCTACGACACCACCAACAACTCCCCCTGCAATCGCGCCTGCATGGTTCGATTTCTTTCTCACAGTTCCGGCTGAGGCCGGAGCCCCAGTAGCTGAAGGTGCCGCTGTGGAATCCGGCGCGCCGGAATTATGGACAGCAAGTGCCGCCGCATAGTCCCAAACATTGGGGGTTGTAACATTGAGGTAGGCCCAGCTAGGGATGGCTATGGCCGGTGGGATTGTGATGGGGAATTGACTAATTGTGATGTCTGAGGCAGTGCAATTGAAGCTCCATTGACTCCACCTGTTTAAGATGATAATGAGAAGTGAGTGTTGTGATTAGAATGTTTATAACGAGTGCTTACGTGATGATATTATTCCCCTGACATTCAGCACAGGCTGAGATGAGGGAGTAAACCACTGTACTGCATATACATTTGTTTGATCCGTCTGCGGAGGGACCGATATAATGCCGATTTGGACCCAATGGACCGACATTCCAGGCTGAAAGAAACCAAAACCTGTGTGAATGACTCAAGGGGTCAGATTAGAATAAAAACATACTGCCACCATCACATGCTGCCTGAAGAGCAGAGGCAACTGGATTGAATCAACGTCAGATGGAGACTTGTGGAAGAGTTGGCTTACCCAGACATGGACTTAAATGGTCCTGATTATAAGTCTATAAAATGGGCATGTAAATGTACAAGTTAAGCCACAATGAGCATTAAAGACCCATTCATCTGTAATACAAGCTACAGTGGTCGTCTTGACAATAATTATCGGTGATAAGTTATTCTAAGCAACAGTAGCACATACCGCTGTCGCACTGCTTCGGTATGGAAATGCGAGAGCTACAATTGCGAGAGCCCACACAGAGAACATGAAAGAGAGCGAAAACGAATAAAGATCTGCCCAGTTCGTTCCTGGTAAGGGCTGCTAGAGTGGAACCATGTTAAAGATAAGGAACCCCCTATCTATATACTTACTTGTGAGACTTGCTCAAACTCAAATTTTACAGCTAGTGCAAGGCTTGCACAATCCCATTACGGGATTGCTTGCATTGTCATCGCTGAAAGAAGTTACACATGATAACACATCGCTTTCTTTTCATTAAAAAACAAAATCTCGCATGGTATCCATGTATCCATCAAAGTTCTATCGATCGGACCCAAATGGAGAGCAGTGGCGCCATATTCAATTGCATGACAGGTGAAAGGATGTGCAGTGACTTGTCACTCACATGAATGGGCCAATCATCTCAAAGTGGATTTAGAATTATTTCAGATTTCCATGGAAGTGGTTAATTGTTAAATAATTTAACAAGATGATACCAAACCAGTTACATAATGTTATGACAGTACTATTGGTAATTCGGCACTCATTAAAAATTATGGGGCGAATGATTGATGTTCTCTCGCATCAGAAGTGCAACAGACCAGACACACCATCAAGACCGCATGTACAGCTACTAAGTTGGTAGGTGATTAGACTAAATGAGGTATTTACTAGATAAGTAGTTCATCTAGACCGGCTAGCTCTGCTATGATTGAGAATCAGTGTATATGAGTAGTTAAAGATATTTACTCAAGTTTTGGGTCTTTCTAACGTGATGTGGCTAAAATTTTCAACATGGATATTAGAGTGGATTCGTTGCCTATAAATATGAATTTGATGTGGCGGACCAGTGTGTTAGATTGAGTAATCCTAGCAGTACTTCCCAGGGTTAGGTGGTGTGGTGGTAACACCCTTGCTATATATGCAGAAGCCCTGGGTCCAATTCCCAGTCTGGCCATTCATTTTCTACACTTTTAACACAGTGATGTTAACCAAAGCTTTATTTACTATGCACGCAATTAGCAAAAGACATCATCTTTATCATCCAAAAATCACTCGTGGCTCCTCTATATTATCCTCCTGCATTCCTGCTAACGAAATGATATCATATAAATTTAACGACACAAGTTTTGTTTTTCAAATCTCTTCTCCAGTACTTTGTTGGACTTCAAAGTCTCGAAGTGAAATACAGAGTCCACTGCAAGTGCTTTAATACAGGTCGGGGAACCGTCGACGGAAACCTTCAATGCATACATGGACACACCACAAATATATATTCCAAAGATAGCGTGAAATAATACTTTGTTGGCTAATTTTTCAAGACTTCTAGTGTATACATTCACGTGTTCTGCGCCATGGTCGCTGATCAGAGGGACCACTTCACACATATCAGATTGCTAAGTCGCCTCGGCGGTGATATCAACCATTAAAGTGTTGAAATCTTTTAATCAGGATGTTACACGCGGTGGAGTGCCACGCACGCGGCTTTGCTCTGCAGCTCACGGCATACGGTGCTATGTTCATGCCCTTCTTGTTTCCAAATCCGCTGTGCAATATAACCGTCGAGAGTAAACGGTATGAATTCAATGAATGAGTCTATACCAGACCGGGGCAGTCATGGATTCGGCTTCAAGTGGCATCCTCATGGGTGCAGCGCTCCTTGAAAGACACAACGACAATTATACCTGAACATTGAATACGATGAGTTAAGACATCTACACAAATACATATGACGGTTTTTTTTATCTATCAACCAAGTCAAGAACGCCATAGATTGTCCTAACAATAGCGAAGGGGTGGTATAGCTCCGAAGGGTACAAAAAGAGAGCGAAAATGTTAAAGTCAACCGTTGTGAGTAAGTGGAAATAAGGGTTCACAGTACAGTGCAAGTTAGGGGTGATTACCCTTGCCTCGCCTTCAATCACCAATGGACTAAAGACGGGATGACCACTCGATCACCGTTAAGGTTCATATAGCTCAGGAACCCCTCTATACTGTCTGCTGAGACTGCCGTTGGTGGGTAATGCCCCGGGATTCTGTGGATGATAGTATGCAGCTAATTGCCAGATGAGACGACCACAGGCGCGTATGAAGGGAGTGTTGGAGCAGAAGCGTTGGGAAATGTACTCGGATCAGAAGGATTCTGGTGAAGATGAAAGTGAGTTATAGGAAAAGTCAATGCACCGAAGGCTTTACATAATAATTGCATGGCTCAGTCTGCATTGGGACAATTGGCGAGGGGAATCCGCCAGAGGATGCGCTGAACGCCAGAGCAGACTTTTCCCATCACCACTGGAAATTTTGGGCGTGGAAACTTGAGGCGTGGTATTCAGCCACCTCATTAAGGCGTACACAGTCATGGCAATCAAGGGAAGTCCTACAACACCTTCTACAACAGCTCCTGCAATCGCGCCTGTCTGGCTCGATGTCTTGTGCGGTGTTCCACTTGGCGTTGGAGTTCCACTTGGCGTTGGAATTCCACTTGACGTTGGAGTTGATGATCCTGCTACTGTACTGTCCGGCAGGTCAGAATTATGGTTAGCAAGTGACGCCGCCATGTCCCAAACCCCGAGGGTAGGAACATCGAGGTAGGCCCAGCTAGGGATGGAAAAACCGGAGGGGATTGTGACGGGGGATTGAGAGATTGTGATGTCCGAAGCTGTACAGTTTGTCTTCCATTGATTCCACCTATTGAGGATGATAAATGGTAAATGAGTGGGGTAATTAAAATATCCATAATGAGTGTTTACGTCGAGATACTGTGTCCCTGGCATGCACTACAGGCTGACAGGAGCGAGTAAACCACCGTACTGCATTGACATTTGTTTACTTCGTATACGTAAGGGCCACTATAATGCGAAAATTGGTTTAATGGAGGGATATTCCAGTCTGGAGAATGCCTGTGTAATTGATCCCCAAGGGGTGAAATGAAAATAAGGACATACTACCACCGTTGCACGCGCCGAGAAGCCCAGAACCGACTGTATTGAATCAAGCTGAGGCTGTATTTAGATTTGAAGTGTAGAAAAGTTTAGTTACCCAAACATGGACTTGAACCCTCCTGATTAGAAGTCTACATAAAATGGCACGTAAATTCACAAGTCGAGTTAGAATGAATGTTACAGACCCATAGGTCTGTAGTACAAGTTGCAGTGGTCGTCTGAAGCTATTTCAGCCACATATGCATGCACCGCCGTCTCAATGCTTCGGTGTGTAGATGCGAGAGCTACAACCGCGATAGCCCACAAAGAGAACATTGAAAAAGTCGTTAGCTGGGTCAAGGATCTGCTACCAAATTGCTCCTGCCAACTGCTCGTCAGGCCTGCTATATATGCACATTGTTAAAAATATTTTCAAAGAGGCGCAACTGAATTAAAAAGTGCACTCTATCGAGAACAGATCCTCGAAACTTCACGACACGTGAGTAAAGCCCCACATCTATATAGTCATTGATAGAAAATATGCAAAACTCAATTTAGTATAGCTAAGGCACAGTTCACTTGTCGTTCGGAATCTATCACAGAGATCGAACAGGGGCGCTGAAAGGGCCCGATCAGTCAACTTTAGCGCCTTTGAAGCTCTTGTCATCTGAAAGACTGTAAATAGCATCGAACCCCGAAAAGTGAATTTCAGGTTATTTTCCGTTCTCAATTACAAGTATCTAGTATTGCGAGTGCTAGAAGCTACAAGAAGTTTCGTCAGCTGGTTCATAGGATATATTAGTCGAGTTGCTGTTCCTAGTTTTCCCTACGCGTTTGACAGAGCAGACAAACGCGAATATCACTCATTGTTGACTCTCGAGATCCGCATGACAAAACCAGTGTACACCTAAACTAGTACCTAACCTATCATGTCAGTGTTAACGCAAAATGCGCGGTTCTAATAATAACTCTTAGTGAGTGATAACTCCACTAATTAGGAGGTTACGCGTTTGGAGGTATAACTATATATAGTATGCCTCGCGTAGTGGGAACTATACAGTTCCCCAATATGTACTATGTTCCAGCTTACCAAATATGGATTACGTAACGCCGTTACTTCATGTGAAAACTTCGACCTTCGATTTAGCTAATGTTTTGGGGGCCGGCGGGGTCGTCGTCTGTAGGGATGTAGCGGCATGGAGGTGAGTCGTCTCATAGCTACATCGTGAATACAGCGATTTTGCTTATCAATGTTCTTCGTGGGAGTGTGAAATTCGCCAGTCTTGATAATCGGAATCATTGATCGGCGATCGCAATTGACGGTGATAGGACAAGTGAACGGGCAAGCGATTTCGGCTCTAAATGCCTGTGTCCAAAAAATTTTCTTCATAACGTGAGTCGCACCTATATATTTCGCCTCTGTCGATAATAGTGCAACGATAGGTTTCTTTTTCGAATTCCAGGAAATCGTGCGTCTATCCATATTGAAAAAATTACTGGATGTCGAGTATTGATGCTCTTGCGAGTTCCAGTCTATGTCCATGAAGACTTTGATGCCATTGCGTGAGTCGTCATGTTTGTCGCCAATCACTAACGATTTGTCTTGCATTCCTTTCAGGTACCGAAAAACTCTCTTTGCGGTTTTCCAATGCGGACGGCTGTGGTTCTGCATGTATTGCAACAATAGGGATACAACTGCTTCGCGATATGATCCGTTTTGTATATCTTCGCGTCGACGGGACATGGTTGGGCATTGGATCGAGAGATGCTGGTGGGGATCAAGTGGGGTTAGCAGTTTTGCGTCCTGTAGACCAAAATTTGCTACGATTTTCTTGATGTTAGTACGTCGTAAAAATGAGATAGTACGTGTCGTGCGGTCCCTTCCTACTTGAATTCCAAATAACCAGTGAACTTCTCCTAGATCTTTTATCTTCAGCCATTCTGTAAGCTTGTCCTTGAATCGCGTGATGACTGACTTCGAATCTCTGGTCATCGTCATATCGTCGACGTCAATTCCGGTGACTTTGGCCTGCGAAAAACCTTGCGCGGCGAACCTATGTTTGTATTCGGTAATTTCGCCATTTGGCCCATGCTTATACAGCGGAATGATCTTGCTATTAATATCATTTTCCGGCGGTCCTACGAGTTCCTGAGTACTGTATTTTACCTCTTTGACATTCGCTGCTGATTCATCGATTTCTTCCATTGCAGTTGTCATGGCGGTTTCATATGGCATTGAAACTGTTGGTAACATTTCATCGGGTTCACCGTTTTGTGCGTTTTGCACGACGTTCCGAGTGTCCAGGGTCCATTCCCTCCCTCAAGCGGTATGTCGTTCAAAACAACTATGTTCGATCCATTGTTTCCTTCAATCCATTGTTTCCTTCAATCCATTGTTTCCTTCAATCCATTGTTTCCTTCAATCCATTGTTTCCTTCAATCCATTGTTTCCTTCAATCCATTGTTTCCTTCAATCCATTGTTTCCTTCAATCCATTGTTTCCTTCAATCCATTGTTTCCTTCAATCCATTGTTTCCTTCAATCCATTGTTTCCTTCAATCCATTGTTTCCTTCAATCCATTGTTTCCTTCAATCCATTGTTTCCTTCAATCCATTGTTTCCTTCAATCCATTGTTTCCTTCAATCCATTGTTTCCTTCAATGGTTGCTCCACACCTCGTATCCTCAACACTAGTGAGCGGTTCTTCCGATTCGTGGATTGCTGTGGCCATCGCATTTTCAAGCGTTGTCGAAAATGGCGGTAAGTTCTCATTGATATCATCCTCGAGAGTTTTACCAATCTGCAGCAATTCTGTGACAGCTGCAGTGTCGCGTGGTGGGTGGTTGGGGATCAGCACTGGGGTTATCGGTATGCCTTTGGGGTATGCAGGTCCATTTTGGCCTCCCTCATTCGGTCCATGTCCGCTTGTGATATCATGGATGTATACCGATGGTTTGCCTGCACGGTGGCTTCGACATAGCGTCTCCGACTCTGGGGTTGGCGTGATGTCATCAAGGTCCTCAAGAGGTTCCATCCT